GTTAGTTTCAATCGAGAAGTGAAGTTCTTACTAAAAGTCTTAAAGTCTTCGAATTTCATCCCATGTGAAGTTATTGATATATACTGATGAAAAGTCTCAAACTAGATTGAAACAGCTGTACATCGGTCCTTAGTATTCATTGGTTTATTGACCAATGTCAGTTTGTGATTGCTGTCAGAACCTGAGGTTACATTTTGTTTAGTTTTCATTTCATTTTTGGGATTCAGTGTTAAGTTCAGGTACATCATTTAGATATGTTATCAAATTATTTGCATAGTTTAATGGTTAAACATGTTGTGTCTTTGATTTGTGTAGTGAAGTTGAACTCTTTTTGTCCAGATTCTTTATTTCAATTTGATTATTAGTCATTATTGATTATTAAGTCAAACTAAATTCACCTGCTGTGATATCTTTACATATTTGGCACTTTAATCGTGACTTTTAGGATCGTAATTTAGTGAAATCAAGTGTCGTGACATTTTGCATTTAATTTTATGGGACATGAACGGTCATGTTTATACTAACATAAAAATATGTTTTGTCATTATATTTGTATGGATTCACAACCGTTGTGTCTCAGTGGGGAGCAAATAAAAACATTTGGTATACTTGCTTAAGGATCTAACAATTATTTAATATTATCCATGAATAATCAGTATAAATAAAGGAAAATCAATTTATCCCGGTAGAGGTTAATAATCTTAATCAAAGGATTAGGATCGTTTGGCTAATTATTTATTGGATTAGACTTTGTAAAGTGAGTCATGTTTGATTATCAAGTAATGTAATATTATCTTACAATATATAGAATGATCAGATAATGGTTTATGAATTCTACTGTTGTCAAGACTAAGATTATATTCCTCATTTCAACTATTTTGAAAGATCATTTTCAACATATCATCCATATGGGATATGATTTGTGTCCACTACCATCTTATAATACTAGTGAAAGTTATCCAGTAATTGTGAATATTGATCAATGGAAAGAAAAAAAGGTAAAGTTAATTTTGACTATTTGTCAACTTGATTTCTGCTATTTAATGGAATCATGAATAGCCTACAATATAAGTAGCATAAACAAATAGTATGTAAAGGATATATATTGTTTAAACAAAATTAGTGTTTTGAAGTTTTAATCATTTTATTTAAAGACTGTTAAGTAATAAGTTATTTTATATTTGAACTATACAGTTCATACATAGGAAAAATATTCTAATTCCATTTGTAAACCCTGTCATGATTTCATCACTAAGAAACATAGAGTTTGCAAAGTCTCAAATATGATTAGTGTTATTATTAAATTTTAACACACAAACATTATTCCTGAATCATCTATTGAGATGCTAGAGCTTAGCTTTCCTTCTGTTTCATGATAAACTGAAATATATCAACATTGAATTATTCTACAAATTATAGATCTGTAGTTGGGATATAAAAGTGAATAAATAAAACCGTTTCAGTTAAGGCAAGGTTGAGGTAACAATGATCGATTTCAGGTTAAAATTCAAGATTATCTTAGAAATGTTTACAGGAGAGGAACCCCTTTTTGCTAAAAAAGTACAATTAAAGGTTGATTCAGTGTCCAATTGAACCATTTTTATAATTTTGTTAAATAAATATCCCATCGACAATTCAAACCTTCATTAAATACTTGCAACAAATCCTATGCTAAATATCATGAACTTTTTTTCAAATATTTATCACAGAACTACTGCATTGAACAATTAATGGAACCATATGTCTCTTATTTCCACCTCATATAAATAATGTGATTGATATACGTCCATTAAAATTTAATTTACTTACTAATGAGCATCTAATTATGATGCGGGCTTATTTATTCTGTAAAAAAATGTAATGCTCAATGATCTGTAAGTATACCATCCATTAGATAAGGGAGGAAAAAGTGCGGCTAATCTTTAAATTACTAGCAATTTCGTTTATCCTGGCGCCATGTGATTAAACATTATATTAATGCCTGTTATTACTTCAGTAGGCGGTAAACAGCGTTTTGAAACTTAAGAATGCCGTATATTTCTGCATAAAAGTAACATATTATTCCGAAGTTAAGACCCTCGTTGGTAAACCTTGGAGTTAATAGTTTTTCTTTAGATGAGATGGTTTCTTTAGTAAATTAATATAGTTTAGTAAAGCTCTTTCAATGCTTTAATGCAAATGTCATGTAACACACCTACAACGGATATTGAGTAGAGTAGCTTCTTAACTTACAAATAAAAAGCTCACTAATAACTTACTTCCGCGCATATTTCTTGATGTTCCAACAGAAGTGCGTTAAGCATATTTATAGGGAACGTATTTTACCACAAACACTTGATTTCTACCTACTAGTGGTATACTGCATAATGAAGGAAGTGAAAAGACGACAAAAGCACATGTGTCTAGAATATTTATTACTAATACTTCTGTTTTATGGATACATTATCATAATATTATTAAACTAATTTCATGTTTGATTTGATTTAAATTGAACACTAAACTTTATGTAGTTTGTTAACCTCATATTTTTAGTTTAATAAATAAAGGATTTCCTGATAACCAATATAAATTACGATACTAAAACATAGATCACGCTAAATTACTACTTTATAAAAGAAAAATAATTCACTAGAATACTGATAGGATTAAATGATTAAACTTACCGAGAGCAGTGATTAGAACATTACCGGATTTTTGAAAAAAAACCTGTCTACACCATCTAATACGATAAAGCTATTGTTTGTATTTTTTGTGTTTCAAAGGTCTTTTTCGCCAGTAAACTAACGTTCGAAACCACAATAACTACATCCCTTTTTTGGTAATTGCGATGTTCAACTGACCATTTTTGACGTGTATGTAAGGACGACAAATAATCTCTTAACCACCTTTTCCAAAACACATCAGCTAAATAGTTGACCTGTTTCCAACGTTTGTCATACCTATTTCTCATGTTACCTTCTTCGACTATTCCTTCACATTCTCTCCAAAACAACAAACTATTTGGGCAAAAAGCTAGTTTGTTGTTAGCGTCTAGAACAGCTGAGGTTAATGATCGATCGTTTAATATCCTTTCAACTTCGATGAAATAAGTGACTAAGATCACGTCACAGTCTTTTCTCTGGTGATCAAAAACAACAGCCGGCGTATATATCTAATCATCTTTTCCCATACTCCACCTCTGTTGTTGGAATATATAAATCATGTGTGGATTATGGCGGCTATGTATCTTGTCATTGATATCGAGAAATATATTTGTTTTTTCTGGATTATGTGTTATTACTTGTCATATTCACTTCATACTTCGAAAGTTACTTCTCCATTGTCTACGTAAAAGTTCTGAATGGATCCATAACACATATATTTGAAATCGTGTTTATTTTAATGCAGTTCAAACAAATTTAACTGAACTATATTTCAGTTTACACAATATCTAATAATTGTCTTAGGAAACCTTGGATAAGCAGAGTAAATGTGTTTGAAAATAATATGGAAAATGAAATATTTTATTTACTCTACCAAAACAAATGCAGAAATGTTGGTTATCAAACATTTTGGTATTTTGATTTAGGAAAAACTTATAATCGAAAGGCTGTAGACATATCCACCTAAGGTCTCAGAACAAAATAAAATACCTGTGTTTTTTGCAATCAGTTGTCAAAACTATGGATTGATCAAATAAAACTATTGTTTCATTAAATCCTATGATTTGGGAGGAAATCTAATTGTTGCATATAAATATATGAAATTAGGACGATTAAGTGAATTGTTCATCTACGAAAATGTTTTCATAGAACATATTTATATTTTATTATACTCCCTTTACAAACGATTATTAGAGGCATTAATATTATTTTTATACAGAATAAAACATCAGTCAGTTAGGTTAATAATAATTAGTTAGAGATTTGTCTGACACTATATATAACTTGAAACTGGCACATTTATCATCAAGTATGAATGTCAACTTGAGTTATTGTATACTTAATTTATTTTTAACTTAGTGAATCATCATATCTTATTATTAAAATCAGATTTCCGGACCAATTGTTCTTAGTAAATGACAATAATAAATTTATCGATGAAATGTAAATATTTGTAATATTGATACACAAAATTATTTCAGTGACGAATATTATCAATTATATGACGACAATTAGTTGAAAAAGGTGAAAAGTTGTATGACATATTACTTATTTAAATGGTTTATGATCAATGATACACCAAGCTCTCTTATTTCTCCAACGATATATGAGCGATTTAACTGAAATTAGTTCAAATGGTATATCATAATTACTTTTTGATCTGTGTTTCAAACCCACTTGGTTTCACAGAGAATGATTATTTTGCATATTTTTACATTTGTACAAGATTATATTAACTCTATGATGCTACCACAAAGCATTTATTGTTATTTTAAAGCATTTCAAATATTCTCAGTAAGTATGCTTTACTCATAGGTCCCCTGATATTTTACATTGGATTTTGAAATTGTAGAATAACTTTGGAAATTCTATCTTAAAATAGATTGGTTCAACAATTTAGAATAAGTTGACCTACGTTTCTCATACTGTAAACACAAAACAGTTAATCCCTACTTCCTGTATCATATTAAGTTAATTAATTCTCCTTTGCAAACTAATGGCTTTCGTTATTGATTATTATGCACGAGTTTTAATAGTTCGAGTCAAATTTACATTGTCTAACAATTAAAGCAGACATCATAGGGTTCTGAATTATTTCTATGGGTGATAATGTACATGTTTTGTTTAGATATTTTGTATATCGGTTAGAAAATAATTTACTTCGGTAATATTTTGAGTGTTGTAAAATTTATACGCTTTTATCTTCCAGATTTCAGTTTATGTGAGCGCCAATATACATGTAGGTAAACAGTGTTGACTGTCAAACGTATTGTTTGTTGTAGTTGCTTTTTTTCAACTAAAATAATGTTTTTCTGTTAACAAATGAGTAATTTCCATATATTATCCATTTATTTTCAGCCACGAGATATTATTGAACCTCCATGGTTTCCTGCTATATCAACTCCTGAACCACGCAAATTACGTATTATTGGGCTGATACCCGGACAGCATTCAGGTCCTTTGGATAATGATAGATCCTATGAGTTTTCGCTAAGTACGCATTCAGTCGGCCGACTTGTTGACCTAACACGTTCTGTATTTTGTAGACCATCTACATCACGTGGACTAAGTGATACCCTAGTAGATGTTATCATTTCATCAAGTCCAGCTTGTTCAATTTCTATGAGACAAGCTCCATCAGAAGTCGAAAATATTAACCCACCTTTTAATGATGGGTTTTTACGTGATCTAAAGCTTAGTATGCTTACCAAAGTTTCTGGAGGATTTGGGATGCGTACTGGCTGGAATGATCAACTAGTATTAGCCTTGCCATCTTCTATAGAAAAAAATTATCGCATTCCGATTGCACCAAGTATATACGGTCCTATCTCACTTGATACATATTGGCCGTGGAGAGATTGGCGTGGACCGACTGTCAGACGTTGGATGTTGGAAGGATTTCAAATACATACAACCAAAAGATTGCTTAGAAAAATTACCTCTTGGAAAATTCCTCAGAATTCTGCATTAAATAGTAACAATCCTGTAATCCATCCTCAAACAGAAAATGAGTAAGTCGTTTTTTCTTAGTTTAATCGCTCTGATAATCAAACTCATTCACTATGTAATGTTTCCTCAAAAATTATATCTTCTCGTCACATATGTATGAAATGCTTTTTAATACTGTAAAATGTCCTCAAAGCTTAGATCCTGTACATACTTCAGGCAAAATGGATGTTACAAATAAATCTGGTAATATTCACTGCAAAAGCAAAATAATGTTTTATGTTAGCATTCAGTAACTTAACTGCTCTACATAACATGATTCAAATATACATTGATAATAAAAAACGATGTTTCGGTGGATTGATGTTGAAGATTCGTACAATCTCAAGATAGTTTGATTATTGGCAAACCATCTTGATGGGGGGACCACAGTGAAAAGTGTTTTCAACTGGTAAAATCTTTTTTTCAGATATTACTTGTTGAACTTATTAGCAATTTCTTTCAATACAGCTATGCTGGATAACACACATAACCCTTGCTAAATTAAATAAGTCAGTAAAATGGTATTGAAGGTGGGGGTTGTGGTTGTGGCTTTGGAAAGCTAGAGGCTAATCCCATAGTAACATGGGAGACTGGATGTGTTGCTTTCGTATACACAGCTCCGACTTTTATAAATATACGATGAAGGCTTTATTGATAATAGTAATTCTTTTGAAGATTAGATCTTCAGATACTTTTAAACAAATTTTGGTGGATATCCATTTTCGGTAACCATTCTTCTTAGGAGATTTTATTTTACGACTTCAGCATCCGAATTTTTGATCAGTTGGAATCCGTTTGTTGAGGTTCATAATTACTGTCAGGTACCGATCTTAGAAAACGACCTAATATTCTCAAATATCGACGATTTCCACCTGTAATAAATGCGATATCGTTCGGGTTTCGTGTAATCAATATCATATGGATATTTCATTGAGGAAAGCTGAAAGCACAACATATGAATGACCGGTTTTATTTCGACACAGTTACAACCGACTTACAAAAAGGTGAGGAATGAATCAGTACCATAAAGTGCAATTGACCATATACCTTCACACATAACTCACTCTTACAGCTTACCAATGACATTAAAAGCTCACAGACGTTTGACTGATATAAATATATATGAACCAGTGGTGTCTAAAACAAGTAGTATATCACAGGTCTCACGAAGGATACATTTATTATCTGCGAATAACAAATATGTATTCACTACATTCTCAATAGCTGTTATGTGACTATAAAATTTACATTAATTGTCAGAAAATCTAATAAAAATTATTTATGATATGGAAGTTAATGTAAAGACAAGATCATTTGTACACAAAACTCATTCTGCACACGGGATCGATGGAAGTTAGACTTTAACACTCTTGGATGCTAGCTCAGTGATCTAGGGTTCAATCGTTCAAGGCCTAGGGTTTTTTGTTCAAATCCTGCGTGCGGGATCGTGGAAGCACAGTGCCGAGGAGTCCCATACCAGGACGAAACAGCCATCCAGTGCTTCCAGGTTTTCAATGACAGTCTAGCTTACGTCGACTCATGAATTCAAATACTGAAATACTTCAATCTCCACAAACCACATTCTAATCATAAATACTTAAGCCTCTAAAGTGGTGTACAATCGGTTCTATGTTCAGTCTATCCAAGAGGATTAAAAAACATTATCCAGTTTGCTTGAAAAGTCTTATAACCATTTTGGTAACACAGACTATTCAACCGAAAAAAGGCTAAAATTTAAATTTCTTTGCAAGGAAAAGAGAAATCCTTTAAAGATAGTAAATTCTCATTTCTTTAGCATTTTTAAACCAGTATTGATATATTTAGAGAATCCAAAACCATATATACAGAATTAAAACATTCAGTTTTTTTCTATGACCGTAACTTCTTTTTTTTTAAAAACCATTAAGACAGCACTTTTGTTTATTAACATTTCGCCTTTCACCGACTTATTCCAGTCTCTATGATTTTTTTTATTGCATTTTATTCATTTCAATATTTTTTGTGATATTGCTAGGCAAACCTTTTTATACAATTATCATTTTTTAATTTTCTATGAAATTCACCATGAATATTTAGGATCTTTGTAAGAATAACACTTTTTTGTACTTTAGCTATTATACTCAGAAAAATTATTGTTAATTACAATCATAATTAGTTGTCGTTTTAGGAAAATGTTAGTATTTCTTTGTGTACAGTCTTGTGAATACATTCACCGATAAGGAAACTCTTCAATGAACCACATTTTTTGTGTATTATATGCATTTCTTCTACTCTGAGAACCTGGATTTGTCATTCTTTAGTAAACAGATGTTAAAGATTTCATTCCTTGAGGTGTTCAATTGTGCATATAATATTTAAAAATTTATAACTTAATTAGTTATTGACGAAATAAAAATTTACTTTGTCTGTTTTACTTCAGCAATAACTATGACGTAACAACATCTAAGGGGATAATAACAACAAAAACTACTAAATAAATAACACAAATTAGATAAGTAATACAAATTTAAAACCAGTAGGTGCTCCGAAAACACAACAGATAAGGATCAGTTCATTAATTAGAGTCCGTTTTAAAAGATTGCATACATAGTTTTCTAAATTGCCACCCTATTGATTGTGATTATCTTTCTTCATGAATAACGTACAAATATTGGAGGTTTTGCTGAATATAGTATTAGATTCGTAGACTAGGAAGCTGGGTGACGTTAGCTCGAACTCCACATGAAGCATAAATTTCTACAAGATTGGAGGTATTCCTCCTGGCATGTGCTAACTAACGCAAAACGTAGGTCTAGGATTTCCGATTGACTACATTCAAATACCTAGCAACTGACCATAGTATTCATGATATCGAGTTACTTAGTGTGATGTTCACATTACAATTTAATCGACAGAATTTAATTGACTTAGAGGACTAAATTAACATGACATTGATCATTTCTCAGCAATCAATCATTTATATGATAAACAAACGTTTAATGTACAAAATTAAGCAAACAGTTCAAGTAATTTTAGAATTTACATGATGAATTGTTTGACTTTTTAAGTTTACTGAACTGAAATGAAAACACTTTCATCAAAGTTAATTTTAATTTATCAGTAAAAATCAGTAGAAACTTTCAACTAAGTTTTCGTTTCAACATGTGTTCATCAGCAAAATTAACCTGTAATCATATAGACAGTTGATGTTCTCTATGATAGTTGAAAACGTGTTATAATATATCCTAATTTGAGACATTCATATTGAAATTATTGAATACATGTATTATGTGTAAGACTGAGTTGTTATGTACATTGTTACACTGATTTTTGTGCGGCTGACACAAACGAAAAAACATAAATTTTACACTCACAATCTTTTGAAACCAAACCAAAATGAACAAAAATGGATGATGGCTGGCAATGATATCCAGGACGCGCGTTTTTTTCTATTTTGGACTTGTCAGCTGGATGTACCTGAATACCAGAGTTGATGTTACTGTGCTCGAGTCCCGGAATAAACAACTCTGTAAAGCAAGTACATCCTCCTGCTAAGTCCTAAATGGGACAAGTTACTATATTTTATTATGATCTTTACCGGTACGCATATTTGTTAAATGATTGACTGTGTAGCTGTTCGTGTTTTTTTACCATTGCCTTTTATCAATTTTCTTATCTAAACAATTAATTCAATAATACATTTGATCGATATACAAAAATAATAATTCTACTGTTTACCTTATATTAAATAAATATCCAACATGTATATTTAAATTACAAGTGTTTTAATCAAAAGTTATATATAAAAATGTTTATATTTTACATTCGAAATTCAAAAAACGTTGTACGTTTTTGTATGTTGGGAGTAAGGGATACGTTTGTATTCGTTCTTAGTCCCTTTATTGTTTTCTTTACAGAAAGCTTGTTTATATATTCTTTGAAGTTATTTGTATATATATAATGTGAATGTACAAATAATATTGATTTAACGTAGCTGAATAGTTAAATAAACAAATGGTATTAAAAGTGATCAACTAATCAGTATTAACGTTACTTGATATCATATTCAAGAATAAAGCAACTATATATTTTGTACAAATGTTGTCCATATAATGGGAGCTTATAAAATAAATAGTAAACAGATATACTACTCTTTATAAAAAGTATTGGTTCATTTTTTAAAATGTTTATCTTAAAACAGTAAAATGGTTGTATAGAATATGAAATTTAGAAAATCTTTCATTCATTATATATAAGACTATGTAAGTGATACCTTCAAGACACCTCCTATTGATATACTTGCCTCTAAATGCGTGATAAACTGTGTATCAAGGCGTAATCTGTCGATTCATAACAAGTTACTTCTTTTTTAACCAATAACAATATGCTTCATTTCATATAATCAGATACAAAAGAACATTCCTATCTCCTTTTTAGAAAAATAAATAAAAGAAACTAGTTTCATTGAGAAAACAAAAAAAATTGTTTTAATAAATTTTATAGTTAAAAAAATGATTAATTCTTTTCATTCACAAGGATTTGAATGTGATTGATGTTTGCCTTCTTTATACCTTACTGATAGTATCATGTATGAGATAAGAGAATTAGTCATACTTAACTTGATTAATCTTTTAATCGGTGTGTAAAACGTTCTTGTTTAATGGATACTGAGATGTTATTATGTTTCTTATGATGATTTATAAAAAGAAAACAAACACACAATTGGTTTAATCTGTAATTTTAATTCATGGTTGATTTAATAAGATTGGCAACAAAGCTCTTATGAAATAATAAGTAATGTCAAAAACTGATCTATTAAATAGATTAAATTGAAGACAGTCCTATTAACTAAAAGAAATCTTCATATAAATCACTGAAAAGAAGAAATATTTTGTTGGACTCTTGATTAGGCGTTCAAAGTTACCATAAATTACCTATTAAATGTTCTTTGTTCTCTAAAATGTTTACCTTTTGTCAATTAGTGAAGAAACGAAATATTTTCTTTTTAATTTCCTGACTCTAAAATAATAATATTTTCAAAGAA